TGTTAGCTTGTGTTAAAAAACATCCCTTTGGGTACTAGGTTATTAGCAATTGGGGTTTTTTCAGGTGGTCTAAAGAAAAAAAGACATGTAAAGCCCATTGAATACTAAAAAGCTGATCCATAAATGTCATTCATTGCCATTTTATACCATAAATACTTGTATAGATTTTTAAATCTTTTGATATGAGATGTGCAATCAAACAATGCTACTGTGGTTATTAATATCATGATGAAATAGAACATTACATCTGACTGTAGGGTGGTGAGGGTGGAGCATATATAGGACTAGTTGTGGGATGTGGCATCTTTGGCTTCTGAGCCACAAGTTTGAATCCCAGGTGTCCTGATAAGTGACTGACATCAGGTAATATGTGATACTTTTCAGAAAGGGGCAACAAAAGAAGCCTTTTCCCTTAGCTGTTCTTGCATGGGTAATGTTTCCCACTTGCAGTGAATTTTGATGGGCTCATCACATCCACCTCCACAGAGCTCAGTAGCTGTTGTGGCATTCAGTATGCTACAAAATTCAAGGGCTACCATCATTGCATTCTCCAGGACCCTTTTTTGGAGTCCAAATTTTGAGTTACTGTCAGGAACCTGCATCTGCTGGATCCCAGCTTTGTGGCCCTCTTCAAAGCATTTTGTCTAGTGACCCTTAAGGACTATAGCTAAATTCATAAACCACATGATTTGTTTTCCAGCTGCAACACGCTGAAATGTTCAAAGCATCCTCCACTCAATCTGAATCAATTCTCAGTTGCAGCCAGGAGATCTGCAGGTATTGAGCAACTAATAGGAATAGTTTGACCATGCCTCATGTTAAACACCCCAAAAATCAAAACACATTGCTACTCTGAAATACTGCCTCTTTCTGAAAACTTTGGCTTAGTGCCTAAACCCATTTTCAGCAAGGAGAGAAGATGACATTGCTGCAGATTTTTTCCTTGCTGTGAGGAACTAGCAAGGTGAATATGCAATGAGGAGGAATTTGCTGAAGTATCTGTCTTGGAGTGGCAGAGTCTATTTAAGAAAAGGAAAGGGGATACTTGAGCAATTGAAGCCCTTTCATGTATGCTGCTCAAGCTGAAGCTTCAGCATATGATATCTCAAGACAGATGGTTGGCAATGCCCAGACTTTGCTCTGGCTGATGCAGACCCAAATCTTGTTGTCTTCCATAGGGATTATACCTGTATCTGAGGGCAGGACTTGGCCTTGTGAGTGGTTCTACCCACAGATGCAGCTGATGATACATGCTCAGAGGACGGGAAGAATGCAAATTCCCTGCAGGGAGGCAACTGCCAGCCATGTAAACAAAGAAGCCTTCTGGGTGTGCAGCAGTCCCCCCACTTGAGCTGCTGTTTCCATGGTATACCAGATGCTGTAAAATATGCTTTCTGGAGGGAAAGAAGCTTTTCATACTCCTGCATTCTTTCATTTGATAATGAACTGTCATCAGGCTGGTACCTCACTGTATGGGCCACCTGCATCACATCCCCCCTGGCCTGTCCCTTTTCTGAATTGTTGTTGATAACAATTCATATTCTGCAGCTTCCAAACAAAGAAAAAGCTAAGTGACTTTTTGGACTTGGAGCGCATTAGCGACTATGCTTTTAATTGTTATGAGTGACTGTGTAATGCACTACAGTTCCTCCTGATGCACGTGATATCATCTCATGACACTGTGTGTTGTTTTGCTTTTCAGTTTCCTTCTGTCTTCTTAAAAAATTAGAATACGTGTTTCCATTTTTCCTTGATTTTTGCCTGCCTAAAAGCCATATTGCTTTGTTATAACTCCTGTTTTAGGACTGTTAAAGCCACTGGATACAAGTTAGAAGGTACCATTTCTGAGTTTGCTTCCTCTCATATTTATCCACTGGTTGATCTTCAGCCAAAGAGAGGTGATCTCTACCTCCATTTTCTTGTAAAACAGCTGCTGGTGATGGGCAGGTGCTTAGTTATACAATATATACCAAGTGCAATTGCAATTATAAACCTGCACAAGCTTGCAATAATGAGCCTTGAAGCAGACCAACCTCAGCCAGTGTATATAAGTTACCAAAAGCACTTACAAGGCTTGCTGTGCTTCAAACATGACTCATAGGAGGAGGATGTTTTCAGGGTACCTGTCTGCTGGAAGCTGTGTTCAGGGATGATGCTGCAAAACTGGCAGAACTGTGTGGATGTGGTAGATCCCCTCACTGTGTTCTGAGTCCATTGCAGGTTCATTGGCCTTCCTCGTGGCTACCAAAAGCAAACACAGGCACTTTCGTATGACTCCAGCTTCCTCCAGCTGAAATGTGCGCCTTGTCTTGTAAGGGATGCGTGCTCATGTACTCTCTGCCTCTCCCATGCTCTGGGCACTGCAGCCTCACAGGGCTCTGCGTGTGCTTGTCTTTCCCAGGCAGCCCAAGGCTTACCAGGCCTGTGAAGAGGGCTAGGATAGCAGGGGGTCCCTGGGGGTGAACAGTGGAGACAGGTAGTGGTGAGTATGTGTGTGCAGTGGTGCAGGACATAAGAAAGTGTCCTGAAGTGTAGAGAATGAGGGCGTTTCTTATTCCTGAGGATGCTTTCTCACAGTCTCTACCCGAGGTACTTTTCAACTTCTTCTCTCCCCCCACCCTGCAGGCTTGTACTTCTCACTTTAGGGAAGAAAAATTAAGTGTGGTTAATTTTAAGCCAGTGCAATCATTTAGGAGTCCTGGAGGTGAAAAACCAGTTACTGGTTAACAGACCTGATTTGAAATGTGTTCTGCCTGACCCCTCTACTGTAGTGAGCCAGGAGCAGTTATTCCAAGAAGCTGACTTTCTGGAAGGCTTTTTCACTGAATCATTTAAAGCCTAGGCTTTTTGAAAATGTTAATATCCTGCTGGCTCGCTGGAATGCAGCTGGTGGGTACAGCAAGTGCAATACCTATGTGCGTGCTTGCAATCCAAAGCACAGTTTGGCGGGCAAGGCTCAGGCTGTGGTGTGGGGTGTCCTCACTGAAGGCTCAGGCTGGGAGGAAAGTGGGCTGGAGAACAGACCTGATTTGGCATCGTCTCACAGACCTGGAAGTCCCTCTGCCCTGAGCAACCAATACAGTTGTGATACAACGGTGCTTTGCACCCCTTGTTTGACTGTGCCCGGTGACCTCGAGCGGTGCCCTGTGTCACGCTGGTGCCTCAGCGTGGCTGCAAATGTCAGCTGTGTTTGTGCAGGTCGGAGCTGCTCTCCCAGGCAGAGTGGTCAGAGCGCGCCCATGAGCTGGGCCTGCTGTACTCAGCCTTAAACGATCGCCTGGAGAATAGCGCTGGGGGGAATCTGGCCCCAGAATTTCCCGTTGCATCAGCAGGGGAAGGCAGTAGACAACCTTTGTAATGCTGAAATCATGACAAATGCAGGCTGAAGTCCTGCAACGGCTGAAGTATCGCTATAGCAAAATGCAGGTCGGTGTGAATGTGTATGTAGCTTTTCCCCTCCCATGGTGTCTGCAGATAAAAGTCTTTTCGAGTTAGCTGTATGTATTTGTGGTATTACAAAGGCTTTGTCCACCTTCATTTCTGTGTGCTAATGGATGAGGCTTTTCTGCTTAGCTTAGAAGTAAAGAATTTTTCATGTGAGAATATGTTTTCTTTTCAGGCAATGCATATTCTCTTCAGGCAGTCATCTAATTCACCTCTTTCATAATTTTATCTTTAGTGTGTTTTCTTACACATCATCCAGTGCTTTTTGTAGCTAAAGAAAAACCTAAAGTTCTTGCCTCTAAACCGGAGACGTATTGTCCTGCAGAATAAAAGTATTGCAAGTCCAGGGTTAAAAAAAAAATAAAAAGCACAACCATACTATAAGAATGAAACAGAATTGAGGGGCTCTGCGAGAGGAGGACTGTAGGTGATGGCAAGTGCTTTACTGATTTGAGCAATAAGTTAGCACCCAAAGTCAGATAACTACTTCTGATTACCAGATTTTCTTGTGCTTAGTGTGGTAAAATGCTCTCGAAGCGTACACACGTTTCATGGTCTTGTTTATTTGTGTCAACAGTAGATGTACTTACAGCACTTCATATTGTGTGAGCTAATACCTACCGTATGTCACAAAAAATAAGAAAGATTCAACATGAGGCATAAGTATTCTACTTTATTAGTAATTTTTTTTTAGAAATGAAGATAGATCATGATAGACTTCCTTGAATTGAAAGAAATGCAGATTAATGCAGTTAAATGTGTTGTCTTTTCCATAGACGGGTTACAAACACAATGGAGCATGATTCTCAAATATTGTAGTTTCATTAAAACAGATTTTTTTTATGTTCACTTTTGGGGATGTATTTTGCACACCTTTAGATTAATCAATTTGAATCCATTTAGGACACTAACAATTTAGTATAGTGGCAGGTTTATTTAGATAAATGTCTACCAATTTGCATCAATTATGACAATGAAATGCAGTAAATATTCCAAAAATGTTTTAAAATTTATCTGCTTACTGTTCTGCAGAGTATCTCAGGTGACTGCCTTGTACTAAACTCCGACTTTGCAGGTTTGCGTGGGTTTTTTTAAGTAATGTGACTAAAACCAAACCAAGATGACCTCACCACATTCCCTGTGTTTCTCTTCTGTGCATTAAGTCACATATTAATTTCTCTGTTAATTTCTCTGTCAGTTTTTCCATCCATTCACGTATCTGAAAAAAATTGAGTCAGGACCCCAATGAAAAAAACTAGTTTAAAAAAGAATAAATCATGAAACGCTAACAGATTTTGGAGTGTAAAACCTTGATGAAAACATGTTTCATGGCTTTCCAGGTATTTTTTTGGGTTGGGATTTTTTTTCATTTTCTGTCGTAATTTCTGGACTCTATGCGTGGCACGTATGGACAATGAGAGAAAGGTGAGGCTATGAGTTAATGCTGTTGTTCCCCTGGATGAGGTTCAGAGCTCTTTGTGAGTGTTAGCAACACTGAGTAATAGTCTCTGTTAAGTACTGTTCTAAACCGCTTTGTTATTTTTATTTTTCTCCAGGGTTTTTGGGAAAACCACACAAAACTCATTACGGAATATGGACCTGTTTGTGGGTAAGCTTAGCAGTGCCATCAGCTTTCTTCTTTCCTGACTGGCTCTTGCTGTTTGAGTTTGTTGGGTGGGAGAGGAGAAAATACCAAGATAAGATGTTCATTAAAATTCCGAGTGCACTGTTTCAGCCTGGGGGACAGAGGTGGAGGTGGTTTGATTACATGCAGCAAGTACTCTTGTCTTATTTTAGTTCATCATTTGGTGTTGGACTTCATTCTTCTCTTTCTTATTTTAATTATGCACATAAAGTTTAGTCCTTTTCAGAACTGTACAAAGCTACCAGCCTTCAATATTCTCTTTTCATCTGCATATTCTTTATACTTACAGTGAACAGTGGAAATAATAATTTGTCATCTTAAAAAAACCCTAATTTAGTTTATGAAATAGTAGGAATTTGGTTCAGCTGTTCCTATCTATATTTATGCAAAATTCCTCAACTTAAAATACAATGAAGCATAGATTAGAAATGAGGCATTCCTCTCTATATAGCTCTATATAGCTCAGCTCTGCTATCTTAGCAGTTTATTAGGAGTAAAGAGGGTTTAAGCAGTATATCCCTTCATAGAAGCCCTTCCACATTTCTGTGAATGTCATTTCTGTTCCAAGAACTACTTTCCAGTTGTCATCGTTTTAAATGGAAATGCAGTTATTTCGTGGTAGCTTCTATTACTGTGGTTATTTGGTATTTGTAGCATAACTATTATTTCAATATATAGCTATCAAGCAATATTCACAAAGTGCAGAAAATGTCATTTCCCCCCCCCCCCCCCGTTGTCTGCAAGGGCTTTAAGACACTTGTAAGAGAGCATGTATGAACGTTTGTGTGTATACATATTTGATCGTAAAAGATACCAATACGCTTTGTATGCTCTTCCAGCAAAAAAACCCTAGCAGAAAGAAGTCAGACTCAGGCATACGAAGCATTTGATGCTCCAGCCACAGCCGCCTTGTGGCATTTATGCTCAGCCCTAAGGACAAAGTGCTGCAAGAATTGATGGAAATAATGAATTGCAAGGGTTAGGTGCTTGTCTAAGAGGAAATAATACAGTGTCTTGGCTGGCCAGGAATGGGAAAAGATATTCATTAATGCTGTGGCAATTTGTATGTTGTGTAACAAATGGAAAATGACTGAGGCATATTATCTCCGTGACCTTTGGTGCGATGCCCTTAAATGACAATAATGTAAGAACACTGGCATTCATTCTTCAGTATATTTCCCTCCTTATTAATATCATGCCTGTTTTTTTCCTAAGCCAAATTTGAGACAAGTTGCTATTTAGTCATCTGTCTGCTCACTCAGCCAGGCAGAGGCTGTGTCATTGGAGAAAGAGATGTATAATTACAGTGTGTGAGCAGATAGAAAGTTTCATTTCTCCAGTCTACTCACAGCTGTTAGGGAATGAAACCTCTGTGAGACTTGCATGGACTGCAAAGCTGGATGATGGTGGTAGTGGTCAGCCAGGACAGCACTGCCTCTTTGGATTCCGTAGGCAGGAAGCACGAGCAGATTGAGCACAGGTATACTTCATTTATTGCATGCATGAAAAACTCAATTTGTGAGGGACCTAGGAGGCTGGCAGAGAAAAAAAATGCTGCTGCTTGATATCTCCCAGGAAAACAAAGCTGGATGCAAACAATGCTGTGTTTGAGGTAAGGTCTATGTGTAGTTTAAGGAGGATGTTTTAAAACCTGGCTCGTGAGCTGCTGTTCAATAGGTGTGGTATGTGTCAGGGGATATTTATCATAGTCCTGTCAACTAAAAAAATTCCTTCTCTTTCCCCATAAGTCTTCTGTATGATTCTTTCTGTGGTCCTTTAAAATAGGCAAATAAATGGTAGGTGTGTTTATGTTTTATAGTCCCAGCAAAGTATTGGATCTGGCAGATGGAAGAAGATGTGGCATTTTTCTTTTCCCAGATTGAAAACTGCTTTCCAATAAGCATAAAGAGCAATGATCTTTATTTCTACAGTGGTGAAGTGAGTTGAATACAAATCTTTGGAACTGAAGCCTTTTTTTTCTTTCTAAGGTCACTTGAATAGTCTGAATGATACCATCACAACTGTTTTCTTTTGTGTGTGAATTGGTTTCCTTGACAACAGGATGTCAAATCAACTTTTCAGCTTTAATCAAGTCAAAACAATATATCCCTTCCATTCCAAAAGGCCTGAAGTCGTAGAGAATTATTTCAAGTAAGGCTTTTGTAGGTCACAAAAGCTTTTTATTCCCTTCACTCCCGTGTGTGAATCCAAAGGAGAGGTGATGGTGTTGGTATTTTATAGAGAGAGACAATGCAAATAGTCATCAGTTGTGAGTGTGTGCTGTGAAAACTGTCTGTTTTCATACAGAGGTGGCCCAAGATGGAGACCAAGGCAGAAACAAACAGCTCGGAGATGGAACATTTCTATTCAACAGGGAATCCAACCACTGATATGACTTTTGAAGAGATCCTTCAACAGAGTAGTAGTCTTTGGTTTAGCTATAGTTCAGAGTACCTTCTATAAAAACACTTCCTCTCAAATATATGTGCTATTTCTCCATAACAAAGTAAAATTGAAAAATATCCTATTTGGAAAACAATGTACTGATACCTATTAAGATTTGCCTTGAATATTCTCCTTTTCGTGTAAGAGTTTTGCAGGAGAGTAGTCCTATTTTCTGTGGAAATTAGTGACTTACATCACTTACTTCTTGATAAATATTGGTGTTTTGATACTTTATTTTCACCTGCATCAAATCCAGTTGTTCCATTTCAATTATAGGTTATGGCTACTGATCGAAAAAAAGTGGTAAGAGCAGACAGAGAAACAAAGCTTCTGAGTTGAAAAGGAGAAATAAAGAGGTTATTTTATGGAATCAGAAAAGCAACTGCTACAATGTGAGCAGAGGTATAGAGACAGTGAGTTAATTTTACTTTATATGGACATTTCATATGTGTTTGGCCACTCTACTGCAATTGCATCATGGTGACTGTGCAGCACTGTAAGCATGTATGGTTGTTTTGGAGTTAAAGAAATCTGCCAAAATAAGTAATATATTCTTGGCCCAACAACATACTACCAGTGAAGGCAGAAAATACGATACAGCACCAAGTGGGCAGGGGATTGCTTTGGGATGAATGAACTTATTCTGCCTTCAATTATAGCAATGCATTTGGATGTGGGGAAGAATGTAAGAGTTCATAACACAGACCTCACTGTGTATAATCAGAGTGAGAACAGATTAAAATTCAGTGTAATTTGTAGGGTGACACTCTTTCTTCATGTTGTATTGCATCGGAAACAGCTTGCAGCAGGTCAAACCCTATTCTTACTCTTCCTTCACTTTAACACTCAACTTCAACCTGCTGTGAGAAGTCTGAAGATGTATACATTAGAAGCTCTAAAAAGGGCAAAAAGAAGTAAGGCAGAGATGAAGAGATGGGTCTAGAAGTAGCAAGAGAATGGAGTTTGGATTAAACCACCTCTAGAATGCAGAAGACAATTGGGAGGTTGGAGTTCAGGGTTGTCAGGCTGTGAACTGGGAAAGGGAGGCAACAAGATCGAAATCTGCATTTTCTTAATGTGGGGAGGAATTAATGAGAACATTTCTGACAAGATTCAGTTGTAAACCATTCTCAATCCCAATAAAACCACCATCAGCAAACTGCATCTACCCATGCTGAGCCTCTGCTGGGCTCCAGCATAAGCATACCAGAGTCAGCACAGCACCACAGGAAGCAGGTCAAGGTGCATGCATTCCTCAAGCATCTTGTGAAAACATGGATGTGAATGGAACTCCATTTCTGTATAAAGACTTATCTTCTTTTGCAATGAGTTACTTCAGCACATTTTTATGTATTACACAGAAAGCAGCTTAAAATAGGATAGGCAATTTTTCTTAAGGTGTCTGTAGGATTACTCAATGTCTGATCTGTGGGCGACGGTTTGTTGGTTTTTGATTTTTTTTTTTGTTTGTTTGTTTTTTCATTTTCCTTAAAGACTTCCTAATATTCATTAAATGATTTCCTAATAAGTTATTGAAACCAAGATGAAGGCTGGTTACTTAAATGATTGGGTGGTTTAAAGGATTAGGGTAGACCATGGAGCCAGTCACTAACTTGAAATGTGTCCGAGGTGAGTTGTGATTGTAAAGTATACAGGCAGCTGACAGCTTTTCAGAAGTCTATGCGGCCAGACTTTGTTCTGGCTTAACTTCTCCTCTCCCTAAAAAATACCACCACAGATGGTACTAGTTATCATTTCTGCAGATGAGTCCATAACCAAACAGTTGTGAACAAGAAACAGTCTTTTCTTGCTGCTGCTTCTGGCCTCTGCATCAGAGCTGAGGCACACTGGTTAGTCACTTTGAGGGTTTGGAGCTTTCCCCTTTTGGGGATGGAAGAGGGATGTGCTTCTGGGATTTAGGCTTATGGAACTTTTTTCAAAGCCTTTTCTTTCCTTCTGCCCTCATCAAACACCTTGGGACAAACCTAAGGTGAATAAAGCAGGATCTCCTCCTGAAGGGAGTGGGCCATATCTTCATCATGTGTCTAATTTAACTGAAGAAACAGTGCCTTAATTGCTATTTTAATTTCACAAAGGTTTTTTTAACCTCTCTATTTCTGGCCTTATTCTTCTTTCTGTGGAAAAAGTAATCCCAGGACAAGTATTCTCATCTTTGTTTCTCAAGGGTCATGTAAAAAAATAACTTATTTTTATGAAACAATCTTATCCTGTTTTATTTCCTCTTTATTATTGGGAGGGTCTAATGGACTTATTACCTCTCTTGTGGTCCTTCCTTTAGTTTGATATTTTAAAGAATTTGTTTTTCATATTTCATCTAGAGAAAATCATAACTGGGCAAGGATAGAGAAAAACAAACTTCCTGTTGCTGATCTATAGGTCTTAATAATCTCTGTTTCATGTGTAACCTGATAGGGAATTTTGGTAGTCTCACTTGCCTGGATTTTTGTTTCCTTAAAGAGTGATAGATTTTCTTTGCCAGTGTCAAGTCTTTCATATTC